TTGGCGTAGTCGATGGTGTGACTTCCACGTAAGATCTTATAGATTAGGCAGTTATATCATGACAAATCTACAAATTTAGGATTAGGTCTATTATTAGAGCAGCACTAATATCATAGTAGACCATAGTTCTACAATAGTATATGTTCTTTGTTCACATGAACATTATCACTATAGAAAAAAAACTACAAGTTTAGTAAATTTCCATTTTACGTTATATTTAAACTAACGAATATATATATCAGTTATTGACATAAAATGTCTTTTTTATAACGCTAATGTTAAGTTCCAGGACTTTGTATGGGCCACTAATAATAATTGGTTTAACGTTAGCATAGTCGTGATATTCATATTGTCAGTTCAGTGTTATGATTACTAAACAGTTCCCTTATAAGTTGTTTAAAATTAGGTATGTGGAATCAATGCGGCTGACATAGTAACCTTACAGTAACGCACTGTACTATATCTTCACGGTTATTGATTCTTAAATGTCAGAAATTAAAAAAATCTGAATATTGCCAATAAAGATGGGTTATATGATCACACTGAAAAGCATGCTGCAGGGAAACTGGTTAAGTCATTATGTAAGTTTCCTAAACATGAAAAAAAATGATGAGAACTTTAATAAGTACTTGACCATGGTTTAATCCAAAATGTTTTGTCTAGAAAACTACTTATTAATAGTAGTATTAATCGTATCAAGCTACTAAACATATCCTCAACCGAAAACTTTTAGAAGTAGTTCATACGGTATATATGTATAGCCAGTCTACGTGAAAAATGTATATTAATATATAAGAAGTACAGCTAACATAGTTAATTAACCAGAAAAAGAAATTATAAAACTCGCCTGGGTTGCTTTTTGAATTCGTTGTATTTGCCAGTGTTAGTTGTATGAGTTTGATTAAAATCCTCAGCCATCGTTTCGGAAAACCTAGCTTATGTGTCCAGTATTTTTAGAAAAATATTTAACATAACACGTATATATCAAAGGTAAAAGGTCTGGGGAGTTGTCGGTGAGGCGGAATGAGGAAAAAAAATTATTTTTAAGTAGATGCAGGGTGTGATTAGCTGCGTGGTTGGATTTTATCCTGCAGCCGAAACTGTCAACATCCTTGACTGACTAATTGGATGTGCCCAGCGAACCGTTTTAGTCATTTGTAAAGATTTATTATCTTTACATTTCGATTCCGTAATGGATTTGTCAGTTAAACGATCTAACAAAACGTATGGTGGTTCATGATCTAGATAAGCCGGCTTTAGCCTATCAATACTTACTGTGTCGATGTTTCCATGTTTTTCTACCACGAAATATTTAGATTTTCTTGAGACAACTTTGAAAGGACCTTCAAATGGAGGACTGAGTGGTGCTTTTATTTTGTCACATCTTATCCAGACGTGAGTGCAATTGCTTAGGTCTTTAGGTATATATACGGCACGCGATTGTTCACGAGTATTAATTTTAGACAGATCTATAGAATAATTATAAAGATAAGTTATGGTCTGTATTAAGTAAGCACCATTCCATCTATTCATACAGCAGTTGATTCAACGTGTCAAATATTTTAAGCCTACATTCTAAGTGTATTGGTGTTTTAAGGAAGATAGTTTTTATTAAACACTCATGTAAGATAAAAATGGATGCGGAAATGCACAAAAAATCTTAAACTCAATAACAGTAGTTGGATTTCAGCTTCTCTTTTGACATGGTTGAAAACAATGTACGCGAGCTTCTTGAGATATAAGTACAATCTTAGCATGATTTACATGCATCAAACCTGTGTTCAAACGAAAAAAGAGCATCCTTTTTAACACAAAAATTCTACACTGATCTCAATATTCAGTAGAATATTTTCTTCTTAATCTTGTTCAAGTTATTAGTTAGCCGAACATTTGCCTAAGCTTACCATCCAATATCTTGGATTTCCACTATACGAGGCTAACATCAATGTATTTTAAGCTTTTATGCTACCCATTTTTATCCATTTTGATAGCACTATCTTTTTGCGGCTATTAAATTTCATTTCAATTCAGTTAACAACTTATATTTAAACACGGACACAAATAACACGTGAAGGCGACCAGTCCGCCGTTAAGCCCTCATCTGTGGTGTGTAATGTGACAAATGCAATTGCTGCTTTCGCAATATAGAATAAACTTCACGCAAACTGCTTACTAACTTCACAGCAAGCCAAATAGCGAAAACGTATGTAGTGCATGTTATGTTAATGCTAAAGACATGCTGACGAATAATATTTGTCTTCTGACAGGTTTACGAAAACGATTGCATGCGACTCTGCAGGAAAAAAGCTTGGAAATGGATAAACAATCAAAGGCTTGCATCTGGGTAAGGAACAAGATATTCGACAATACTAGAATCGGTAGAGCAGGCACCAACACCGATGACGATATATAGAAAATTAGTACGGCCATAAAATCGACGGCGTTAGACCATTCCGACATTCCTCTCAGTTTGTGGAACAAAAATGACAAAATTCTAAGTGGAAATCAAGGGGCAGGCTAAAACGTTTGGAAATCGAACCCTCGAGGGTCACATGATTTAAACGGTAAGAAGACACAAACCATCAAAATCACCCAAAATTCGTTCATGTAAACTTCATCAGTGCTGTTGCCGTGGAGGGTTATCTAACATCCAGTCACTTGAAGAAATTTAGGAACGCCATGGGGATAATGCAGAATTTTCTACATTCAGAAGGCAGTCTCACAGGATAATTCTCAAGGAATCTCGCGAGATATGCTTGCACAGAATGAACATTACTGTCCAAGTTATTCCAAGAAACATGAACCACAATAATGCAGTCTAAAGTACTTGGGAGTCGAAGTTCAGAAAAAGTCTTTGAGGCTTGAGAATATCTTGGCCCAAAAAGTGGTGCAGTTAACAAGGAGGACGGGTATTCTATACCCTCCCTTTCATGCTGGAATCCTTAAACATCTGAACAGGCCACATAATGCAAGAACCAAGCAGAAAAGCAAGTTGACAAAACGTGCAATAAACAGAAACTACATATTCGGAAAATCTTGTATGGGAAGTTTTCCTGGTCATACGTGCAAGTTCCATTCAGGCGAGCAGGAAAATGACACACATGCATTTTGAATCGAAAGCGTTAACTGCTTATATATGAGCACTGCGAGTTTACAACAGATAAACGATGGATTGCGTGAAATGGGTAATGCTAATAATACTAATATGATGGAAATATCTGAAACATGGGCATCGCAAGTGTTCTAATGTGGTTCATCCAGGGCTCAGTACAAGGATCTCTTTTATTTTTCAACCTAAATGACATTACTTCACAGGCATCGCCTGAGCTGATACTAGGTGAGGAAGTTTGTTACACGGAAGCTTTTTCTATTATCTGCATAACCACTTGTACAATTTTCTCATGGGAGGATTAAAAGATCATCTGCTTGGCCTAAGAAACTAAATAGAGGCTGACAGTCAAACTAATAAGACTTTGGAAAGTGAGTGTCATTCACTGGTTCTTCTGAGTCTCATTGAGTTTTAATAATCTTTACAAGGTCCCATACCTATTTGACTGACTGTACATCAGAATGGAGCATCTAGATTTTTCAACCCAGTATCCGAATTCCGCTTGCGATCGCATCATCATCATTGGTACCATTATGATTGGTCTCGTCGTACATCTTTTATATTTTTACATATTTTTATACTTAATCTTCCAGTATTTCTAAATAAGGGATTTGAAGCTTTTTATTTCACCTATTTACACAAATTGGATTTCAGGCTCATTTTTACTTTCATTGTTTAAATATAATGACTCATAAATACTGCCTTTATTCTACTCTTAATAAAGGGTTTAATTGGATTATTCGTAGCTGTTACTACGCAAAATCTTATTCTACTGTCAAGTCGTACTTTATATCCTATTAAATAAATTCATGTATTTTCGTCAAGACACTCAGACTTGTGGTGGTATTGGTCCCTAACCACAAGATCTTTGGAGTTGAGCATATAATTGCTGAGAAGATTTGCTTCCAACATTTAACGCTTAGAGAAGGTCAACGATGGTGAACGCGGGAGGTTTAGTAAATAAATAAGGACTGGACACACATGACATTGATCACCACCCAGTGATCAATCAATTGTGAAAATCCTTCTCTTTATACTCACTTTTATGTAACCACTTATATAATCTACTACAAATGCTTATTTTGCATCCTATGAGAAGTTGAGAACCAATTTTCATGAGGCTTAGGACACATATAAAGCGCTGATAAGCAAGACCGCATTATCATTGAAGAAAGAACATATCCTGAATTCGCAAAATAGTTCCAAAAGGTTGCCATGAGATGAACTCAGAGAAATGATTGAGTCCTATAACTTCTAAATCAGTTAAACACACTGAAATTCGAAAATAATGTTGTTGATAAGGCTATTACTTTACCATAATATTTCAGTGTTCTCCGCCGTCGAAGGCGAAACGACAAACATCTATTCCAACAATAGTGCATCGTCTCGTGTCTATTGAGAATGAAGTTTATCTACGACCACCTCAGGAGTACAGAGATCTTGATGATATCCATCTTCGAATCGTGGGAGCATCAACAAGTTTAATTGCCGGACCACTGCCAATACTGTAGATGTCTTTTGAGCAGTCGAAACTGCCAAGACATTGGGAGAAAGCGTTAATGAGTCCGACTATGAAACTGGGTGCAAGGATTTGATCACTATCTATTGATCAGTCAGCGCAACTGGTGCTGTGGTCCTATTGGACTTGTGTTGGGACCGTTTCACGCTACTTGATTTTGAACGAGAATGCACTGATGACCGTGGTCAAATTAATGAAGAAGATTACTGGGGCTGTCATTTTTCGTTGACTTGAAGGGGTATTAAATCTTCACAGTGATGGGAATCGGAAAGTTTAGCACAGGCCACTTGATATGCCATTCTTATCTTTAGTGACTGAGGGTTGAAACACTATAAAGCGCCAGATCCGACCTGTGCGTTGCGTTTGGTATTCGTAAGAGCTAAAGTATTATTCCGTTTCATATTCATACGTCAGATATAATAATGCATAATTCTCATTAAAATTAAAGCAGTGCAATTTTCTGTTTTTCAAACCATAATGGGGTACTTGACATTGTTTTGATTGCTGGATTTGCAGTGAGATATTGAACCCTCATAACACTAAAATCTCATTCAAAAGGAATAGGTAAATAAAGTAAAACTTTTGGGAAATATGCGAGACACTGATTAAAAATTCTGATGTCGATTCTCTGATGTTGCCACCGAGATTCACTCTTTTCAACCAGGATGATGAGACAATGAAGTATTTCGCCTAAATATCCATTGTGTGGCAATCATTCAACTGATGTCGTAAGCGTAAAAATCCGACTTTGATAGTTTATTCGTGTTATACGAGTTTCATCCCAGCAACTTTTGGGTCGTGCTTTACTTGTCGATAGTAAGACTGGTTGAGAAAGTAGTGATTTGTTCATAACAGGACATCGGAGTATGAAAAAAGGCTGTAAGGGAATGGCATCCGTCAAATCACCACGGCTTTCAGATCGGGGTTTTGTGCGCGGTCCAACTGGGTGGCTTCAAGCGGTGTCAGGCGTGGCTCAGAATAAAAACCAGTGGCAGTTCTGGTGTAGTTCTTTAATAATTTTAAAATAAACTCACTTGACTGAACGAAATTTTTCTCGGCCGTATTTTTAAATGAACTATATCCTTCGTCAAATACTATTTTCGTTTGTCCAATTATTGACTGAGTGACTCACTTCGTTATTTCGTAATATTATCAGTTCATTTTTGTTGGACATCATTTTCGGTGCCCAAACTTATCAGAAAACACATATGCTATAAATAAGCAAGAAAAGTGGTGGAGGCTCACGTGTAAAGTGTGGTTCACAGTTTTCTTTCTTTTCATTTTTACAGATATTAAGCTCTTTATGCGGTTGTTTTAATCTTATAAATTGGTTTTATTCATAAACCTAATTTTATAGTCTAAATACTTTCCACTCCACTTCTAGCATTCTCTGAGTGATTAAAATACATGTATTGGTTAGTGACGTTCCGGTGTGCAAAGATTGGTGAGTAAACAGCCATGTTTGAAGACGCTCCTCCCACAAAAAAGTGGAACAACTGTCTATATAACAATCGTGGTCTACCTGATAATTATGTAGATTCAGATTTCTTGTCTGAATTAAAAGAAAACCGTTAGTTGCAATTAATTTATCTGGTAATCAAGAAGTAGTGTTTCTACCCAAACTTCGAGCACGTGATGTTATAATCGCTGCTGGGAGCATTTATCAACAACTCTGTTGGTATGTTTTATTCATCTCTACCTTAGTACAGTTTGTCTTTGTTTGTAATTATCTACTTTTATCTACTGTTCGGCTGGATTTCTCCACAGTATCTCAATCTTTACCTTTTCTTGTTTATAACTATTGGATATGCCTTGTTTTGGTCAATGAAAGAGGAAAATGAAAGACAATTTCATAAAGGTAACTATTAGCTTCACGTAAGTTCGATTTTATATATTAAGGTTTTATGAATAAATACTTATAAACTGTAAGACAAATTAGAATTTAACTAATTACCCACATGTTACTCTGGAATATTGTAGCTTTTTAATAAGGCTTAAACAGTTCATGGTGATGAGAAACACTCCATTCTTGGTGCTTCAATATCTATAATATTATGGGGGTTAAGTTTAATTGGAACTAACAATCCGACATTTCTCCCCCTTGTGACTTTAGTTTGTACATAAACTTCCTGTTGATAAGGGAATATTAATGTAATAGATAATAATAGCAGATGATCTACATATGATTACAAGTCAGAAATCTGTTCAGCTTTTAGCGTTTAATTTACTGAATGACAAGTAGCCTACCTCTGGAAAGATGAGCAAATATCTAGTTATGACCACAAAAGCAATCTGCAAGTCTGAGTACACTCTTTTATCTAGAAGATCGTCAGTGATCTGACCAATAAGTCATCGATTGTCAGTTGACGGAAAAGAATCTTGACTGATAGTTAATGAGCAATATATGACATGGGTGAGTGATGGCTGCTCACAAGATTAAGTTATTGACATAAGTCCCTGATTAATTTGAGACCAGAGATAAGACCACTATGCAAATGAGTAAGCCATTTGCATAGTAATTCGATATCCATATATGTGAGATATCAATATTAAATAAATAAAATTTCACAAGTAATTGAACGGAACCACTTTGTACGTCACTCGATTAAGGTAGTTGTTAGGTCAAATCTCCGGCATTATCTCAGCTTTTGAATTGAAAATAGACATATTGGACCATAATGCTAAACATTATACATGATCTTTTGAAATTCTACTTAGTTATGCAAAGGAGTCGACTACAAGTAAAAGTGACTCAGTGAAGTTTACCGATTTCCTCTGCTTTTGCGTTAACCATTGTCTAATCTAAGTAGACAGCTGATGTGAATTATTGGATATTTCGAGATATATCCTTACTGCTAACCTAACAGTATCATCACTACACTTAATACTTTCGTATATGAGTACTGAAGTTTCCTTCTGTTGTTATATATCACTAATGATTTTTATTTTCAGTCATACCTGAAATCAAGTCGGGCATGGTATTTTTACATTTTGCTTTCTGCTTGCTCCTGTTCTGCATTCTCTCCTATCGAGTGTAAGCACGGACTCTATATACGCCATGTGTACTTTTTTTCTTCTTGTGTATTGGACATGTTTTGATTATAAGACTCATTGGAAAGGTCATCCTCGAAAGCCTGGGTCGAATACTATTTCTCTGAGTTCTGCTTTGTTAGCTGCTCTCTGCTTGGCTAGTCGTTTACCTGACCCTTATCATACTTTCGCATTGCTTTCCACTGCCGTCACGTTACTAGCATTATGGCCAGCATTGACAAGAAGGTTTCGCGTAAGTACAGTTACCCTTGTTTCAAATGATCGCCACTGTTTATATAGTGTATTTTCAATGTTTTTAATTTCAATGCAAATGTTGATAAGTCAAGCAGATGAAACTGTGTGTGAAGCAATGGACAGCATAGACTAATCCAAATTACTTCTATTATTGATTTCACAGGTAAATAAACTTTAGGGTAATGAATCAGTCTGTTCTGGCATATGTCCGGTTCACCTCAATATCGCCGTTGAGTCATAAGCATTATAACCAGATTTACAAGGTATCTAGATGGATAATGCGGTGGCGTTTGAAGTGAACTGTGCTGGGTTCAATTCCCGAGGTGAACATCAACTCTGATGCAGGTACATCTAACTGACGAGCTTCAATTGGGAAGAAACACACGCTCTAGATTACACTGCTGATAATTTTAACCTATATTTTTAAGATTTTGCATCAACGATTTCAATAGTCTGAAATATCTAGTGTGTTTACACTTGTGTAAACGAATAAAACTAATAACCGATTTGGTGGGCTAATATGTAATGGCCTTATTTGACCATCCTTACAGTTATCACTTCCTAATCTTGTTACTCCCTTTTTTAGACTTCCAGAATGTCATACTAACACATTATTCGTTCACCGCAGTCGGTACCAAACGACAACGATTTATCCGGAATTTTATTAAATTAAATAATTTTATCCAGTAGACCCACCACACGATTGGTCCTCCAAAGAAACCTTTTCATCAAATAGGCAGTATACACTTAATTATTTTTACCCTTAAACGCTGCGCTTCGTATTCATAGAACAGAGCACAGCCAGTCACTGGACAGTATAATTTTCCTTTCATTAGCAAGAGAATATCTAGCGGGGAGCACAACCACGGTATGTTAGTGAACATCAAAGGTCTCTGTATGCAGATTTCGCGCACAAAAAGTCTGCTATGACTGGTTCATAAATTCGTCCACTTCATTCTCCACTCTAAAACTGGCATCAGCGCAAAGTGGTGGATAATGTGAATGTGGCATTACTCAATTGCTAACGCCATAGTTAATATTTTCACATCTTACCCCGATATTCGGAAAGCCATGTTTTTTCACGATAGTCTTGTAGAATTATGTTGTCTGTAGGCCCCAATGCGTTTTATAAAAACATCTATTCATCTGTGTGATCATGATTGAAGCGTCTTTAGTAGCAAGGTACGCATTCTCAGAATTCCATAAGGTTTCCTATTTGACATAGTGAATCCCAATTTTCAAACCAAGGATTACAGTTGTATGGGATCGGTAAATATGGTTGTAGTAGCTTTGCCTCGTTTATCAATTACCTATGCAACTGTTATTATATAAATCCCAACGGTGTTTGAAATCAGAAGGCAATGAGAAGCGGCAACTACAATTTATTAGCGGATAGCACGGATCACAAACCTATAAGCACATTGAGCGAATTCGAAACAGAGAGGCGAATTTGTGCATGCGAGCAAATACAGAGGCAAATTTATAGTCAAACCTAATAGGGCGCAGCTAGGTAAGGCGAAGGCTAATAATATGATTTGAGTACATATATACATGAGGAAAGAGAGCGAATCATCGAGTGATATTCAAGCGATCAACATTTAAGCTAGAAAGAGATATGTGTGTAGGCTGTCATGTGATCAAGCGTACACGTTTTTGCAGATAAGATAGTGATCATAATAGTAGAAAGAAATATGCGAATTGTTACTGTTCGAATACCATTGCCTGTTAAGTTAATAAAAGGGCTTAAACAAAATTAATCATAATCGAGATTGATTGTAAGAGTTGCTATATGGTTTTGTTATATAGTCTATCAAAAATAATTTCGACACATCCCAGTGTAGGGACACAGCTTTCAATGTTTTCAAAATCCAGTAAATTAGGAGAATTTAAGAGCATTTTTCGTGTGGTGAGTTTAGTTAGAGCTTTAGTTTTAGTTTAACTTAATGAAGTTTGTGTACAAATATTAATACGTATAGTACAATAGACAGTTGCATAACCGAATCAAAACAGTGAAGGTCCAAAACGTTGTCTCACGCATTTTATGTGAAGCAAATTGTGTACAGCGTTTAAGTATTAGAAAATCTGTACAAATTTGTTCATACTGCAGTAGAATAAGTTTCTTAGCGCTGACATGTAAGAAGACTATAAATCCTAGATTGAGAAAGCCACTTAATCGTTCTGTTTCAATAATTCTGCTTAACAACAGGTACGATGTGGTAGACGAAGAATTACTCATACTGCAAATACTAAAATGAAAATAATCGAAATATCTGACTAACATTGTTAAAAATTTGGATACTGTTATGTCTAGAACTTAGATTCTTTGATATACCGCGTACAACTTGAGCACTCGAACGCTAGAACCCTCCAAGTCGCAAATGAGAAGACGAGTGAGAAGGAATGCTATTCCAAAGTGTCAAATATAGTACAAAACTCCCAGGTATTTATAGTTTTTAGAGAAGGCGAAATCATCATTATAGTTATCCAGTGTACAGTGGTTTTTAGTATTTGTCCAATAGGAAGGTACACCCAGAGATCCTGGAATGTTCTTCCAAAGGATGACTGGATGGAATGTCTTCGGCACTTTCTGAGCTTCCTCGAGTCCACCTATGGGTCATCCTCACAGTTACTCAACTCAATATTAGGCAAATCAATTTCGTGATGTCTCAAAAGACAACGTCATTTATTATACGAAAAAAAAGTATACAGGGCAATCAATTACATACATTTATTCCATGATTCATCTGACACCAACCTAAATATAGTTTCTAATTCACTGAAGCTAATTAATCCACAAAATACATGAAGATAGCACAAAAAGACGTTCTCTAAAATACTTTTATATTGTTATTGACTTTTATTCGCATTTCAGAATAATGGAGGTGATGGAGCACAAATATGCTTAACCATATTATCTGGTTCTACAATTCTTCTGAGCGCTTGGCCGATAGTTTACAGTGAAGTATCATTCGAATATAGATGCATCTTCCTTTGCGCACTCGTAACATCTACTTTGTGTATTAATTTTGTTGGACCGTGTTACTTATTAAGAATGCAAAAAATTAAAAGGTTTGTGAGTCAATCAAATGTCGAATTCCAAGTTGCATTTTTCATTGTAACTTATTTTTCTTACAAGTTCTAAATACTCATAACTTGTTGAGCCGTTGCAAAATTCAGTATTTTAATCTTCTAGAGACTTTCCATGTCAAAACATGAGTTTTTTTATCATATGATCCTGCACCAGTTACAAACAATCTATCATTTGACATCGGTTGAATAGAAACTTAGTAGTCTTTGGTAAAAAATGTCACGTCATTGTCGACGTTTGAAACCTTTATTGTGTACATTATGATTCTAGTACCATTAGTTTCCACAATGATGCTTGTGTATGTTTAGGGTCGGCTTGTTTATATAAACAAGCTACTGTGTAAAATAAGTGCTCCATTAAAAACTGCACTGACACGAGCACAATGAAAGACACACCCTGACAAAAAATTTAATATTGTGTGATCACAACTCCTCACAAATTTTCGATTTTGTTTCTTCCTAACAGGACTATCCATGGACCGTGGGATGAAGCTGTTATAGAATAAAATCTTGTATAGCGAGAACATTGTTTATTTAGTATATACATGATTACTTTTGTACAACTCTCAAAACCCCTTACTAAGAAGAAATTTAGCTACCTCTTCTTGGAATAACCCTTCAATTTTTATACAACGTGTTACTTCATCTACTTGGCAAAGAAACAATCCAGCTTCGCATTTCGGTTGAAGAAGCGTCCGGAGATCATTAGCCAGAGCCTGTAATATTGTAAAAAATGGTTGTCATTCTTTCATAAACATGTAAACAAAAGAGAGAACCCACTTCGATTCCCTAAGCTTATCACTGAATAAATGATTTATTACGTTTATAGTAAATGGGTTGACTTATTGATTTACTTCAAGAACCGTTTTTTTCTTAAAACGATTGGATGCTAAGGAATTCATGCATGTTTTAACTATGTAATGTGATATTAGGTATCTGTGGCAAAACCTGAGCTATTTTATGTCGTCCTGAGTTAATGTAAAGATACCGTAGTTTTTTATTATCTATAATTTAAGAAGTATGCAAGTATATGTCCTTGTGATAACAAAAACGCAAGTAAATTCGACCAATTTTCGTAAAGCGCTTGTAGTGTTTACTATGCTGGAGAATTCGTATATATTTTTTGAGGTGAATTCCTCTTAAAAAGTGCTGTAAAATATTCATTTTATTTAATAAGAAAATGTGAAATACCTTAGTCATACTCAACGTATAACCTTACACATATGGTCATCGGTTCAAGTTGTCATATTCTGTTAGCACAGCGAGATAAGTTTATTTCAAGACAAATCCAGGAGTAGTGGTAGAAAAAATTGGGTATCGAGAAAAAGTCATAAGGGGGTTTCAGGAAAAAAGAGAGTGAAGGCATTTGCGCATTGCAAACGATCCTGCGTAGTCACCTAAAATCTTTATCCATTGGTTACCACAACCACACAGACCCCAACCAAGTGGTCTACACGTACTAACACGGCTGAGTCCATTGTCAATTCATTTTAATTGTGTGAGGGCTATGATACTACCCGGGTGCCCAGACCGAAGCAGATGCTGCTGAGTCCATACACCAACGACTTCATGGAATGGTGCCACCCTGCGTTTCTCCCAACCTACCCTTATACTAAACAACGTCGCCCATAGAGATAGACATTGGTTGGGCACATGTTCCAACTACCTCCGTAGATATTCACCACATCAACCAATTTCCCATCTCGGCATTATTCACTCAGTTGTCCAAAAACACAAACGATGCTTCGAATGTCATATACTGGCAAACTACGAGTATCCGCTTAGTGACAGTGTTCCACACCAATGACGTAGAACAGAACGAACTGATAAGCAATAAACTCATCCTCTGTTTGGTAGACGGATGTCACACCAACGCCAAAAATTAGCAAAAGTCAATCGAGGTTTCTGAATCTGCACCGAGATTTCATCAGACACCAGCCCATCAGGATCGATGAGAATCTGAAGATAGGTGAGACGCACTTAATCACTTTACTTCCTATCACTAATTCGAGCGCTGGAATAGGTCAATCCCGAAGTAAAATTTTGCATTTGAAGGAAGAGAATTACACCCCAAACATCTTTGCCTTGTTGCTTAAGATGGTTCGAAGGTTCCATATTTTGTCAGCGATTTCACCAAACAGAAATATATCTGCAAATTCCAAGTGAAGTGAATCTTCTGATACGAAACCATCCCCTGAAAAGTTGGGCGATGAGAGCGTTATTTCCAAAAGAATGTCTATTACAATGTTAAATAAAAGTGGACAGCCCTGAAAAAAACCACTTTAAATTGACAATTCTGATGAAAGTTCACTGTAAGTTCTGACTCAACCAGTAGTGCTCCAGTAACAAACCTATTCAAGGGTAATATACTTTTTAATACACCTTTCAATGACAGACTGCATTGCCATAATGCCTGCAGTCTACGGAATAAAATCCTACCCTAAGGTTATAGGTTGATATTCGTTTGTAATTTATAAGTTTACCACTTGGTAATATAGAGAGTATAGTGCATAATAAGCATTTTACACTAACTCATGTATTTATTGAACTCTACTTTTATTACTTTAAAATGTAGGTGTAACTTACTTGCATATCTCCATCAACATGTCTAATGACTGTCAGCTGTCGAGTCCCATGTGTATGCTCTTTTTCCTTTCTCTGTTTCTCTGTGTAATAAACAGGTAGCATGTGATTTTTCGACCTTCGGACAGAATAGGGTACATCCTTTGATAGTTCAGCTATCAGAAAAAAGCATAAGAGGAAGTGTACAATATTTACCAATAAAATATAACGGAGGAAGAAACAATACCAATCCTAAATCTATACCACTTAGCGTTTATCGCATATACTTCCTACAAGATGATTGATAAAAAAAACTGATGTGCTTTACATAAAACAAAATGATATTTCTGTCAGGAAGTGGTAAATCGGGTGATAAAGCTGTTAGATGATACGGTTCAAATGAAAGCACGATCATGTTTAGGTTGATTTTCTTCGAAGTAATCCTCATAAACGGGAATACGATTTTGCTTCATGTTTGATATTGGCTTGCCAATGAACTGTAGGATCCATATGGCTTCATTTGAAGGATCCAGATGAACCAACGGATGCTAGCATGAACTACCAGTCCTCGATGCTGTCACAAACGGAAGGCCTTACTGGGGATCAATGAATGACAGTATGGACAGTCAGGATTGCGTGCATATGCATTCAAGCCTCTAAAGTAGGCATTACGTGTTGTCAACGTCCGGAAGGTCTACTAAACTACGCACAAATACAGAGGTTTTAGTCACCAGTGTTTGAATTTCTTATTTGTATTGCTATAACCGATCAAGGAGTTGGGCTCTCGTGGTCCAGTAGCTGATGTCAGTCATCAGATTAAATTAGTTGATTGATTGATCTAAATCTCAACATCATGGAGCGGGGGATAAGTGGTTGCTACTAAGAACTCTGTACGGATGACTCATCATCTAGCAGAAAATATCTGAACTTTTACAGTATACGTTTATTAAAGTTAAAATACTTGGATGAAGTAGTTTCAAATAAAAAGCTGGTAAGTCCCGATAATATTTCTCGATTTCAAGGAACTGTAAAATATCAGTAATCATCACAAAAATTAATGTCTAGACTAAATATGTATATGATCAAGTGTAATCTAACATGGTATCAGTGCAATTGCTTCCTTACAACTCTTGAGGACGTATAACTTTAAAACAATTAACATTATTAGGTTTTGGCAATCTCAAAATTGATTTAGATAGCTAGCTTATGTGTATGAATGAACGATCGCGGGACTGAAGAACTGCGACTGGGGATGGGTCGAATTATATAGCATGGAAAGTCCGATTCACAACTACATTCCAACGTCTGAAACAAAGATTTTAGATGGCACCTAGACGTAAACATATTTTAGGCACAATGCAAATCACGATAGCTTTTGTCATACTTGGTGGAAAACTGAGTAGGCATTTTTAACAGACATCATTTTGTAGTATCTTTTCACACTTCATCAATACGACAGAATTGATAACCAATAACTTATCAATGAATAAATGGAATTTATTTTGTTTTAGGGGTTTTAACTGTTATTATGAACCTTGCAAAACATTTCCTATCAACTGACTGACACGTGATATCGCCTACTTATTTATGTCCATTACTCGACTTTAGTACGCTGTAAAAATAATTCGAAAAACTATTGCTAAGACGAAAAGAACTTGGAAATAATCACCTAGACTTTGAAACTCGTTGCACTCTGTTTTGTGAGAAAAATTAAGTTAAAGCATTAAAAATAAAGTAATGCTTGCATACGGATTGGGGGTATCCAGCCACTAGGAGTAGGAGCCACAATATTTTTAGGAAACGGGATTTTAGTGTTCTTCAAAATTTTTTCTACCCATACATATTCTGCTTGACTAATTTCATAATCCACTGGTTTTCTCTTCAGTAGATCGTCATCAGTCAAAGAGTCTTCGACCCATGGATTTTCCAACGTCGGCCACCACTGAACTCTTACATGTCTATTGCAGACCTGAATAAATGACTCAAGTTTCTAGAAAAACTAACTTGGATGGTTGAAGCATATTTGAACATTCTTCTGCACAAGATAGTTCCAGAAAGCATATTTCCTGCTGCACGTTACGTATTGTACTCAAGTCCTGTGAGTAAAATACCCACCTGTAAGATACATACATAATTATAGTATCAAAATGAATCAGCGTTAGAAGTTTGCTTAGTACCAAAAATACAAGTGACACCAATAATTACAAACAACTTTACTAGCACAATGAGACAACATATGTATTATTTAACCTAAAGAATGGAATCCAACGTACGCACCCTAATTTAAATCGAACAACAGGCCTTCTTGGCTAAGACCCTAGAATCTAGTACCATTGATGTATGCTGTGTCTTTGAAACACACATACAGGATCATAGTATGACCGTCCACTTGACCTCAACAAGCCAAAACGGGAAGCCGTCGGTGAACCCTCCAATTTTCTGGCGACCCGACGGTAAGTTCTTGTAGACTGACAGGTATAGGCAAAGCACCAAGTATGAGAACAATCACTTTCAGAATGGATCCCCGTTAACAGTCGTCCGTGTGCTGTTCGGCCAAACGGCTCCGTAAGGTCGTGAGAGAATAAAGAAACACGTCGTCGCATTTCGCGCCGAAATCCAAGATCTGTTATCGTTAGAAAAGATTATTCGGAAGGAGCTCTTTAAGTATCTCGATAAAAACCGGACCCCTTCGGAGAAGCAGCACGGCTTCAGAATAGGTTACTCATGTCTCACTAACTTATTAGTGGCTCATGAAAGCTGGTGCGCTCTTAAGGACCAAAAGCTACCTGTAGACGTCGCCTTCATTGATTTCAGTAAAGCTTTTGACAAAGTTCCGCACAACCGGCTGTTATATAAGTTAAGAAAAGTCGGGATTGGAGGCAATTTATTGATGTGGATAAAAGACTTCTTAGTTGGGCGTCAACAAAGAGTAAGGGTGAACTCAAAGTTATCTAGCTGGGAAACTGTGCTTAGTGGAGTGCCCCAGGGTACAGTTTTGGGGCCAGTGCTATTCCTCTTGTATGTAAATGACCTTCCTTGTCTCCTATCATCATCGGTCTTGCTATATGCTGACGATGTCAAGATATGGAGAACGATACGATGTAAGAGTGATAGCTTAGAACTTCAAAATGACCTGAAGAAGTTATCTGAATGGTCTCAAACATGGCAGTTGCCGATAAATACTTCCAAGTGTGTTGTGATGCATATCGGTCATCAAGGCACAGATACATACACGATGAATAACACTGAGCTACCTGTCGTCCAGACATATAATGACTTAGGAGTTATCGTTAGTCAAGACTTAAAGACTACTGCACACTGCCGTGCAATAGCCGCCAAAAGTTTTAGAACGTTATGGTCAATACGTAGGGCTTTTAGTCATGTCGACGCCAAAACGTTTTTGACTTTGTATACAGTGTTCGTTCGTCCTAAACTTGAGTACTGCATACAAGCGGCTAGCCCCTGCTTAAAAAAGACAGTGAGCTTCTGGAAAAGGTTCAGAGAACGGCGACTAAGCTGGTTCCCGGAATAGCGAAGCTTCCGTATGAATCTCGACTGGCCAAGCTGAACCTTTTCCCGTTGTCATATCGCAGAACTAGAGGCGACTTGATTACAGTTTACAAATTGCTTAGTGATAAATTTGCACCTGATATGCCCTCATTTTTCTTGTCTTCCAAAACAGAGAATTTACGAGGACACTCCAAAAAAGTTCACAAGCCGAGAACAAATTACTTGTCAGCTGACTATCGACTTTCCCATCGAATCATCAACGAGTGGAATTCACTACCTCAGCACGTGGTTGAGGCTCCATCCGTCGACTCTTTCAAAAGAAAGTTGGATCAACTGAGAGACCACCATTGCCAGGACTAACAGAGGCCATCGAGCCTCCTGTCCTTCCCAAATTGAAACTGTAAATCTGATTGGTTCGTCCATAAATTATAGTCTCGCCCAGTGTCAATTGAGAAACGCAAGGGACATCACTTTGGAGGTCTGTAAACACAATTAGGTAGGAAGCTGTAAACCATACTTTACACGTGAGCCTCCACCACTTTTCTTGCTTATTTATAGCATATGTGTTTTCTGATAAGTTTGGGCACCGAAAATGATGTCCAACAAAAATGAACTGATAATATTACGAAATAACGAAGTGAGTCACTCAGTCAATAATTGGACAAACGAAAATAGTATTTGACGAAGGATATAGTTCATTTAAAAATACGGCCGAGAAAAATTTCGTTCAGTCAAGTGAGTTTATTTTAAAATTATTAAAGAACTACACCAGAACTGCCACTGGTTTTTATTCTGAGCCACGCCTGACACCGCTTGAAGCCACCCAGTTGGACCGCGCACAAAACCCCGATCTGAAAGCCGTGGTGATTTGACGGATGCCATTCCCTTACAGCCTTTTTTCATACTCCGATGTCCTGTTATGAACAAATCACTACTTTCTCAACCAGTCTTACTATCGACAAGTAAAGCACGACCCAAAAGTTGCTGGGATGAAACTCGTATAACACGAATAAACTATCAAAGTCGGATTTTTACGCTTACGACATCAGTTGAATGATTGCCACACAATGGATATTTAGGCGAAATACTTCATTGTCTCATCATCCTGGTTGAAAAGAGTGAATCTCGGTGGCAACATCAGAGAATCGACATCAGAATTTTTAATCAGTGTCTCGCATATTTCCCAAAAGTTTTACTTTATTTACCTATTCCTTTTGAATGAGATTTTAGTGTTATGAGGGTTCAATATCTCACTGCAAATCCAGCAATCAAAACAATGTCAAGTACCCCATTATGGTTTGAAAAACAGAAAATTGCACTGCTTTAATTTTAATGAGAATTATGCATTATTATATCTGACGTATGAATATGAAACGGAATAATACTTTAGCTCTTACGAATACCAAACGCAACGCACAGGTCGGATCTGGCGCTTTATAGTGTTTCAACCCTCAGTCACTAAAGATAAGAATGGCATATCAAGTGGCCTGTGCTAAACTTTCCGATTCCCATCACTGTGAAGATTTAATACCCCTTCAAGTCAACGAAAAATGACAGCCCCAGTAATCTTCTTCATTAATTTGACCACGGTCATCAGTGCATTCTCGTTCAAAATCAAGTAGCGTGAAACGGTCCCAACACAAGTCCAATAGGACCACAGCACCAGTTGCGCTGACTGATCAATAGATAGTGATCAAATCCTTGCACCCAGTTTCATAGTCGGACTCATTAACGCTTTCTCCCAATGTCTTGGCAGTTTCGACTGCTCAAAAGACATCTACAGTATTGGCAGTGGTCCGGCAATTAAACTTGTTGATGCTCCCACGATTCGAAGATGGATATCATCAAGATCTCTGTACTCCTGAGGTGGTCGTAGATAAACTTCATTCTCAATAGACACGAGACGATGCACTATTGTTGGAATAGATGTTTGTCGTTTCGCCTTCGACGGCGGAGAACACTGAAATATTATGGTAAAGTAATAGCCTTATCAACAACATTATTTTCGAATTTCAGTGTGTTTAACTGATTTAGAAGTTATAGGACTCAATCATTTCTCTGAGTTCATCTCATGGCAACCTTTTGGAACTATTTTGCGAATTCAGGATATGTTCTTTCTTCAATGATAATGCGGTCTTGCTTATCAGCGCTTTATATGTGTCCTAAGCCTCATGAAAATTGGTTCTCAACTTCTCATAGGATGCAAAATAAGCATTTGTAGTAGATTATATAAGTGGTTACATAAAAGTGAGTATAAAGAGAAGGATTTTCACAATTGATTGATCACTGGGTGGTGATCAATGTCATGTGTGTCCAGTCCTTATTTATTTACTAAACCTCCCGCGTTCACCATCGTTGACCTTCTCTAAGCGTTAAATGTTGGAAGCAAATCTTCTCAGCAATTATATGCTCAACTCCAAAGATCTTGTGGTTAGGGACCAATACCACCACAAGTCTGAGTGTCTTGACGAAAATACATGAATTTATTTAATAGGATATAAAGTACGACTTGACAGTAGAATAAGATTTTGCGTAGTAACAGCTACGAATAATCCAATTAAACCCTTTATTAAGAGTAGAATAAAGGCAGTATTTATGAGTCATTATATTTAAACAATGAAAGTAAAAATGAGCCTGAAATCCAATTTGTGTAAATAGGTGAAATAAAAAGCTTCAAATCCCTTATTTAGAAATACTGGAAGATTAAGTATAAAAATATGTAAAAATATAAAAGATGTACGACGAGACCAATCATAATGGTACCAATGATGATGATGCGATCGCAAGCGGAATTCGGATACTGGGTTGAAAAATCTAGATGCTCCATTCTGATGTACAGTCAGTCAAATAGGTATGGGACCTTGTAAAGATTATTAAAACTCAATGAGACTCAGAAGAACCAGTGAATGACACTCACTTTCCAAAGTCTTATTAGTTTGACTGTCAGCCTCTATTTAGTTTCTTAGGCCAAGCAGATGATCTTTTAATCCTCCCATGAGAAAATTGTACAAGTGGTTATGCAGATAATAGAAAAAGCTTCCGTGTAACAAACTTCCTCACCTAGTATCAGCTCAGGCGATGCCTGTGAAGTAATGTCATTTAGGTTGAAAAATAAAAGAGATCCTTGTACTGAGCCCTGGATGAACCACATTAGAACACTTGCGATGCCCATGTTTCAGATATTTCCATCATATTAGTATTATTAGCATTACCCATTTCACGCAATCCATCGTTTATCTGTTGTAAACTCGCAGTGCTCATATATAAGCAGTTAACGCTTTCGATTCAAAATGCATGTGTGTCATTTTCCTGCTCGCCTGAATGGAACTTGCACGTATGACCAGGAAAACTTCCCATACAAGATTTTCCGAATATGTAGTTTCTGTTTATTGCACGTTTTGTCAACTTGCTTTTCTGCTTGGTTCTTGCATTATGTGGCCTGTTCAGATGTTTAAGGATTCCAGCATGAAAGGGAGGGTATAGAATACCCGTCCTCCTTGTTAACTGCACCACTTTTTGGGCCAAGATATTCTCAAGCCTCAAAGACTTTTTCTGAACTTCGACTCCCAAGTACTTTAGACTGCATTATTGTGGTTCATGTTTCTTGGAATAACTTGGACAGTAATGTTCATTCTGTGCAAGCATATCTCGCGAGATTCCTTGAGAATTATCCTGTGAGACTGCCTTCTGAATGTAGAAAATTCTGCATTATCCCCATGGCGTTCCTAAATTTCTTCAAGTGACTGGATGTTAGATAACCCTCCACGGCAACAGCACTGATGAAGTTTACATGAACGAATTTTGGGTGATTTTGATGGTTTGTGTCTTCTTACCGTTTAAATCATGTGACCCTCGAGGGTTCGATTTCCAAACGTTTTAGCCTGCCCCTTGATTTCCACTTAGAATTTTGTCATTTTTGTTCCACAAACTGAGAGGAATGTCGGAATGGTCTAACGCCGTCGATTTTATGGCCGTACTAATTTTCTATATATCGTCATCGGTGTTGGTGCCTGCTCTACCGATTCTAGTATTGTCGAATATCTTGTTCCTTACCCAGATGCAAGCCTTTGATTGTTTATCCATTTCCAAGCTTTTTTCCTGCAGAGTCGCATGCAATCGTTTTCGTAAACCTGTCAGAAGACAAAT